CTCTAAGCAGCAAGTATTCTTTGACTTGATAATCCACTTGATAAATAAATAGATATAGATATTTAAAGGGACAGTTCACCCAAAACTGAAAATTCTGTCTTTATTTGCTCTCAGTGTTGTTTCACTTTAATGCATTTAATGAACAGCATTTTCCACAAAGGAATACCATAAATTTATCATATAAGTATGTTATCATTTGAAAACCAAGCTTTGTGTGATAAATCTCATTATTCACTGAGAAACCTGCCTTTTGCTGCAAATTGCAAACATTATTTGCGTTTTCGTGTATGTGGCAGCTTTGAAGAGCAGCATGAACATTCTATTTAATGTACTCTCTTATGTTCCACAGAAGATTGAATATGTAGGCCTATTGATCTGAAAGTTCTGAAAGCTTTTGCTTTATTACTAAAACGTATTATACAGCAAAAATAAATAAACTTCCCCATATCAATTTGAGTTACTGATAATTCACATATGCAAAACGTGAAATAATATGCCACATAGCATTTTAAAAATGAGGCAAAACAACATTTGTGTAAATATGTGGTGACGAATAGTATGAAAAATACACTACAGACATCACATGGGGCAAAAAGCCTTAACATTTTAAGAGAACTGCAAACTGGAACTGGCCTGAGTGTATTTTGCTCTCTTGGATAGTTTTATATAATTTGAAACATTACATCAGCGGAGAAGATGCATGGGCATTAGTTTGCATTATTTCAGAAGGTGACAAATGCAGAAATGACCACATTTAAGCATTTTAAAGGGCTCAATCTGCTCACTCTTTTACAGCTGAGCTGATTTAGTTTACAAACAATTAATGAACTGAGAATGTCATAAGACATTCATGACCTAAATATAATTTCCCTTTACAATGATCAATACTAAAATTAGGCAGTAACTTTGTTTCATCAGTCACAGGTAAATTCAAGCTCCGACGATATCCCGGTTCTCTGCTTTTTTTTGACCGGATCGTTGAATCAGTGAGTTGTTGACTAATGCTGCAATCGGATCAGTCCGATTCGCGAGTGAATCGTTCATCGTTTTCACTGTGTTCAGTGTATCAATTTGTGAACCAATTCAACAGGTTAATTGGAAAGAAGGTCGTTCAAGAATCTTATATCGCTCCTCAAATAAAAATACAGATACTTGAAAAATGCACTTAAGCACAGTAACAAAGTAAAAATAGTAGTTACTGTATGTGGGTTTGGAACAACGTGAAGGTGAGTAAATGATGACAGAATGTTTTGAGGTGAAGTATAGAGAGGACAAAAAATTGAATTTAATTTTAAATGACAGCTTTTTCCACAGATTGACATGTTTCTGTCTCTCTAAAGCATCGTAAAATGAATCCATATGAATCGAGCAGTTTAAATCCTGTTTAAAGCAGTTTAAAGTCTAAATCCTGTGAAAAGTTAAAATCTCTATAATGAGCAGATTTAATTTAGACTTTTATTCACATATAAACACACATTATGTCACATATATACACACAGTAAACACATACTGTACATACCGCCTCACATATGGTAAACATGGGCATCACACGCTAAAACAAACATCATTGGTTCTCGTGCATCTCCTGCACACGTTTAAGATTCTGTGTTTACCATAATAATTGCGCTAGGTTTGTGTCAATAATTGTTTAGATGTAAATACAAGCCTAAATTAAATATGTTCATCATATAAAGTGACTCTCAACACAAGACTTAAACCACTCTATTGACTTGTGTTCATTTTACGACATCTTAATGACCTTTTTGGATCTTCTCTGTTTTTGTTACATGGACTTTCAATGGGACAGAAACCTTTCAGGTTTTAATAAAAAATCTTAAATTTAGTTTCAAAGATCATGATGGTAAGTGATGACAGATTTTTTTTTTTTGGGTGAACTAACCCATTAAGTCCAAGTCTACACTGCACACAAACACACATTGAGGTTACACTGGTGAAGCTCCAAACCACCTCATAGAGGGAATCTGTTGAGCAACAGTGTCACCTGCAGGGGGGTTTCTAATCAAGATACATTTTACAGTAGGACGTGCACTAACATTCTCTTTAGCTTTCTTATTTTATAGATGCTTTCCACAAACATGGTACAAAATAAGACAACATGTTAAAAAAATGAAGTCGTTTTTCTTCAACAATTGGTCAATGAAATGGTCAGTTAACCTTTGGAATATGGTGAATGTTGCTCTCAGGAAGTCAAGCTAAACGAGCTATTTTACATTATACTATTTTTATATATTTTTATATAACATATTTTTATATACATTTAAAAAGTCTAAATACAATTGAATATGTGATTGTTCAGTTTTTCTTGTCATTAACATTAAATAAGCACACAAATAAAATAGAAAAAAAAATATGATTTTAAAATAAATAAAATAACTAATTTTAAAATCTATGCCAGAATAGGTACCAGGGCTGCAAATTTATCATAAATTAAATTATGACTCACTAGAGCTATCTAAAACATTGCTGAGGTCTCTTTTCTTAATTTTCATATTGATTTCCAAGACAAAAGTGTAGTTATTAGTTCAGCATGTTGTTGTGGATGTGTTAATCTCACTGTCAGTGTTGGGGGTAACGCATTACAAGTATGACTGAGTTACGTAATCAGATTACTTTTTAAGTAACTAGTAAAGTAACACATTACTTTTTAATTTAAAAGGAAATATCTGAGTTACTTTTTCAAATAAATAATGCCAGTTACTTTGTTTCCCATGTCGTGACTGACAGCTCTCGTGTTGCCATGTTGAGAGAAATCTGGAGTAAGTGGGAGGCATTGTGTGTGCTGTGTGAACATGATGCTTACTGTAGTTCAAAACGAAATATGAATGTATTTACTCATCTCACCTGCACAAAAACAGATTCAGTATACCTCAAAATGAATAAAAACAGTCAAATGCATATCAGAATATGTATACAAACCTGCAATAATTAAATGGTAAATAACACAAATATAATTTATGTATGTAATCCCATTTTATTAACCAATGTCTTTGCTATTGACCTTCGATGATCCAACTCAACCATACTGAGCAAAAATGACACATTTGTGTTTCATTTTTTTTATTGCTGAATAGTGTTTAACTTTCCTCTCCTGCATCATATTCTTCATGCAATTAGTTTGAGCCGCGCCCTCTACTGTACAGACATTAATTTACATTTCCTTCAGCCTTCAGCCACTTTTGTTGTGAAAAAGGCCTTTACATTTGTAAAAGAAGAACTTTTTATATTAAAAACAAACAAGCAAGCCCTGCCCAGATGTAAAAAATAACTCAAAAGTTATGTAGCGCAATACTTTCCGTAAAAAGTAACTAAGTAACATAATTAGTTACTTTTTTAGGGAGTAACACAATATTGTAATGCATTACTTTTAAAAGTAACTTTCGCCAACACTGCTCACTGTTATTTTAAATTACATTCTGTATTCAGCAGACAGTAAACGTACATAAATCCTGCATACATTTAATGTGTTGTAATGCATAATGCAAGTTATTTTTGGTAGTTCATTATTATTCGTTTATTAGTTTTTTTTGCAGCCGTGGCCTAATGGTTAGAGCTTCGGACTTGTAACCAGAAGGTTGAGGGTTCGAGTCTCAGGTCCGGCAGGAATTGTGGGTGGGGTGAGTGAATGTACAGCGCTTTCTTCCACCCTCAATACCACAACTGAGGTGAGACCCTTGAGCAAGACACCGAACCCCCAACTGCTCCCTGGGTGCCGCAGCAATATGGCTGCTCTGGGTGTGTGTTCATGATATGTGTGTGTTCACTACTGATGCCACACGTCACTTCTTCTTCTTTCAAATAATGTATTTAAGTGTTAATAAATTTGTGCTGTCTGAAGAAAAAATAATTATGTAAATGTTTTTATTGTCATCAGAAAAAAAATCTTTTTTCATATATTATGAAAAATATTTTCATGGTTCATGGATTTATTTGGACCGCCTTAAAATATATCGAAAATAAAAATGTGGGAATACTGATAATAATGTATTACTACTGCAAAATCAAATTTGAATATTTTAGAATAATGAAAACAACAATAGATTTAACAGTGTATTACTACAATATTATTTTTTGGGTTTGTTTGGCTTCCAAAAACATCAACATGAATGAAAAGTGGATCAGGGCTGTATAGCCCCAATAGAACATTTTAGACAAGTTAATATTATTTTATTATAATATTAATATGAATATTTTTACTATGTCATTTTGTCCCTGAGCAGTGGCATTAAATTACTTTTTAATGCGTTTGTGTGCTAAGCTTACACTGCAAGTGACAAACAAAACATGCAAATAAATCATTAATCACAATAATGTGTATGACAAGTAATAGCCAAATTATAAAGTGTGTGTGGTGAGAAATGACTGTGTGATGTTTCTGGATTGTCAGGAACTGGAGAAGGAGCGGACTGACCTGCTGGAGGATGTCACAGCCAATAAACGTAAAATGAAGGAACTGGAGGATAATTTACTGTTTAGGCTAACTAGCACGCAGGGCTCCCTGGTGGATGACGAGAGCCTCATCACAGTGCTGGGAAACACGAAACGCACTGCAGAGGAGGTCACACAGAAACTCCAGATTGCTGCTGAGACTGAGATCCAGATCAATGCGGCCCGCGAGGAATACAGACCCGGTGGGGGCTTAGAGCTCGTCTGTCTTTTTAGTGATTTAATTTTTTTTGTTTTTCAACGATACATCGAGAAATTTGCTTCATCTCTTCCTCTAGTTTGTTAGTCTTATGATGTGACAATTATTGGAATTACCACAAGCTGTAAAACGTCACGTAAATAGAATCCTTCATACATCTCAGATGATCCAATCACAAGTGCACAGAGCTAAATACAGGTGTACATATGGTCCAAGATATTTTGTGATTGGACTGGTTAACCACATTCAGAGGTGAAAAACAGAAACTATTGCATTTGCACTGTATATGCTAATCTGTACAAAAACTTCCCTGACTATATATACAACACACACATATATATATATTTCATTCTTTTGCTAAATTCCAATTATAATTGTTTTGTATAAGGATTCATTATCAATTCAATTCTGAACAAATCCTGCCCTATTGAATATGGTTGCGCTTGTGTGTCTCAGGAAGGAGTTTGTGGATGGCTGTAAGGCGATCCAGGCCGACAGTATCCCAGGGATCTGCTCTCGGTTCTCCATGCTGCTAGAGGAGTCCCGTGGAGAAGAGAGTTTCAAAGATCTCTACCGCTTCACCTTCCAGTTCGGGCTGGACGCCGAGCAGGGCCAGCGCTCGCTGCAGCGCTCCATCGCCATCGCGCTGTGGCGGCTCGTCTTCACGCTGGACACGCCGCCGCTGCTGGAGCACTGGCTGGACTTCCTGTCGGAGAATCCGTGCGGCGTGCGCGGCATCTCTCGCGACACCTGGAACATGTTTCTGAACTTCACACAGAGCATCGGCCAGGACCTCAGCAACTACAGCGAGGACGAGGCCTGGCCCAGCCTGTTCGACTCCTTCGTGGAGTGGGAGACAGAAAGACAGAGGAGAGAACAGTCGGACTCTGCCGCCGCCGAGACAGACTGCGAGCCTAGGTCCGTGTGGCCGGGATCTTGAGGGCGGCCGTGTTTGGGATGGTGGTGAATTCTGGACGATGACGTGCAGAGGTGTTTCTGAGCCCGTCACTCTCCATCCTGATTTGTGACTCTTATTCGAATTATTGCTATGAAATTTCCCGGTCTTACCGCATTGGGCAACCTCTCGGACTTTTGTTTTAATGAAAGGGCTCCAAACAAATAGTTTTTTTTAAGCACTTTTATTTAAGTTATTGCTATTGTTCATTTAATTTGTTTTAACGTTCACATTTCATCCAGAGCGGTTTCTTCTCGCTAATATTTTGGGATTGACCAACACGCCAAAGAAAAGGGAATTCTGTCAGCTGCCGACCGAGTTCGAACACACACACACACACACACACACAGATATTTATGCACACAAGAAACACGCGCGTGCACACGCCAGCATAAACGCTGCAGGGAATGTGTTTTAACGGTTATTTTTGGTTGAAGGGTGTGTGGTGGTTCTGCTGGTTCTGTTTAACATCAGACTGTGGTGATTGATGTCCTGAAGCCCTCAAAACCTCATTTCTGTGCTTCCCTAATCATTTCTGACTTTATTTTGTTCTTCTCATTCACGTCTCCTCTGATGCATTCATTGGTTCTGCGATTCTCATATATTCTCAGTGGTCAGATGTGTGTGAGTGGGAAATACAGATTCATTTGCAGTTGGATGTCTGCTGTGAGCTTTTACTTTTATTTTACAGTTTACATATAATTATTAATTTATGCATATGTGAACAGAATGAGCTTTGTGTGTATACTTTTTGCATAAATATAAGCCTAATTTAGGACCATTATGATTTTTAGCATTTTTATTATGTGACATTATTTTTATGATAAACACATGTCCCATTGATATTCATATTACCGTAATGCAGGGGGGGAAATGCAAGGAAAATTAAGATTTTAAGTAATGTTGGCTGAAAATGCTGAATAATCTTTCTTTCATTCTTTATACTAATTAAATTCAGAACTACAATTTTACTATCTAAGTAATACAGTTGAGGTCAAAAGTTTACATCCCCCTTTCATAATCTGCAAAATGTTGATTATTTTACCAAAATAAGAGGGATCATAAAAATGCATGTTATTGTTTATTTAGTACTGACCTGAACAAGATATTTCACATAAAATATATTTACATATAGTCCACAAGAGAAAATAATGGTTGAATTTATAAAAAAATAACCCCGCTCATTCTTAATACTGTGTTGTTACCTGAACGATCCACAGCTGTTTTGTTGTTGTTGTTGTTGTTGTTGTTTTTGTTTTTTGTTCAGTGATAGTTGTTCATGAGTTCCTTGTTTGTCCTGAACAGTTGCTGTTCTTCAGAAAAATCCTTCAGGTCCCACAAATTCTTTGGTTTTCCAGCATCTTCTGCATATTTTAACCTTTTCCAAAAATGAATGTATGATTTTAAGATCCATCTTTTCACACCGAGGACAACTGAAGGACTCATATGCAACTATTACAGAAGGTTCAAACACTCACTGATGCTCCAGAAGGAAAAAGCATAGAGCGGGGGGTGAAATCGTTTTGCATTTGAAGATCAGAGTAAATTTAACTTATTTTGTCTTTTGGGAAACATGTAACTATCTTCTTTAGCCTCTCAAGGGCAGTACTACATGAAAAAAATATGCTATTTAGGCAAAATAAGAAAAATGTACACATCTCCATTCTGTTCAAAAGTCTTCTACAATGATAAACCTCACCGTAACACTATATGTTTGTATGAGAAAATACATTTTCCTTGCAACTGCTCCCAGTTGGCATTTATGAATTAGATTTTCCACATGAGGAAACCACTGTGTATGGCCTTTAGTGAGATGGTGGACTGATTTGCACAACAGTTTCACAGGACCCAATACAACATACCCATTTAGAGCTGCACTTGAAAGCACAGACCATTAATTACAAAGAAGAGAAGTGAATAATTCATTATGCTTAGGTCACTACAGGAGCAGCCTGAGGTTGGAATTGTACTGATGGACAAAAGCCCTGGAAGAGCAATGTAGATTACAAAGCCAGAACATTATCTGTCTCCCTTTCTCAATCTCTCTATCAGTCTCTCTCCTGTATGAGTCTGAGTAATTGTCATTTGAATTGCAATCAGTGAGAAATTGCACATTGGATATTTCATATGGAATCAATGACTCCTGGTATTCGATCTGTACTGGTCACACAGATTGCTTTGCAGATTGCACACATATTCAGGGACACTATGCAGTGGCCTCACAACCTTTTTTGGAAGTAGAAACACAATGCCAGTTTAACAGCTTTTATGCTTTTGTATTTAATATTAATCAGGTAATCACATAAAATCTCTCTGCTCACTGTCTGTACTCTGTTCTCACAGTCTGAAGTGAGTTTCTTTGGCCACCAGATGTCAGCATTGCAAAGACTACATCGGGACCTCATATCTTGACAGAACACTAATTTTGGGCCTATGTCTGAGAAGTGAAGTTTACTGTTACACACATTTACAATGTAGATTACAAAGCCAGAACATTATCTGTCTCCCTTTCTCAATCTCTCTATCAGTCTCTCTCCTGTATGAGTCTGAGTAATTGTCATTTGAATTGCAATCAGTGAGAAATTACACATTGGATATTTCATATGGAATCAATGACTCCTGGTATTCGATCTGTACTGGTCACACAGATTGCTTTGCAGATTGCACACATATTCAGGGACACTATGCAGTGGCCTCACAACCTTTTTTGGAAGTAGAAACACAATGCCAGTTTAACAGCTTTTATGCTTTTGTATTTAATATTAATCAGGTAATCACATAAAATCTCTCTGCTCACTGTCTGTACTCTGTTCTCACAGTCTGAAGTGAGTTTCTTTGGCCACCAGATGTCAGCATTGCAAAGACTACATCGGGACCTCATATCTTGACAGAACACTAATTTTGGGCCTATGTCTGAGAAGTGAAGTTTACTGTTGTTCTCATTTTGCAGTTTTTCTCCTCTCCCACTAAGGTTAATGTACAGTATGATGGTATGTAGCAGTGCTACATTTCTTCTTGTACTGAAGAATATTAACATGCCTTAAAACTAATAGGCACACATACAGTATATAGCGGGGATGTCTTTGGAACATCTCATAGGGAAAACAGTGCGTTGCATTTTAAATATCATATTACAAATACAAATTTTTTAAAGGAAGAGTTCACCCAGAAATTCTGTCATCATTTAATCTAATTTTACACTTATGTCTTTCCAAACCTGATTAACTTACCTTCTTCCACAGAACCCAAAAGGAGATGCTAGACAGCAAACAGTCTTTAAACTGTAAAAAAAACAGCAAACTGTTTTAAATGGTAATGAATGAATTTGCAATATTATTTTTCCATTCAATAAAATAAAGACATTACAGACAAATTATTTTTAGAGACTACAAATATAAAGCTATATATTTTTAACAAAAATAAATGTAAAAATAAATAAATAAATTCTTCATAATTTACTCACCCTCATGTTATTCCAAGTTTGTATGACTTTCTTTCTTTGTTGAGAAAAAAAGTGTTTTGTTTAGTTTTTTCCCCATGAAAGTCAATGCTCTTTGTAATATCTTCTTTTGTGTTTCACAGAAGAAAGAAAGTCATAGAGGTTTAGAACAACATGAGGGTGAGCAATGACAGAATTTTAATGCAAGAATTTAAATTTTCCGGTAAACATCCCTTTAATCGCTCAAATTGTACGGTTTGAATATAATATCTAATATAAAATATAATATAATATCTGATATAAAAATCTAAAGTAGCACATTTGACAGTGTCCTTGTTACATATGTTACATGTACTCGTAGTAATATGTAATACCAGTAGATTTTGCATAAGAAACTAACCCTAAACAAACCCTAATCCTGACCCTAACTCATGTTTAATATTACCCAGTGCCATAACTGCATATTTAGACTGTAACAAAGATATCTTAAAGTAGAGTGTAACCAAACCCAAAATGTCTGAATACAAAAAAAGTAGCTGGAAAATAACCAGATGATTTTGGCCTCCATCAAGATTCTGGAGTTCAATGTACTGACGTTGTTCTTTCATCCATCAAAGAAAATTTTAGCAGCAAAGTCTCTAAAAATAATGAAAATGCTCAAATATTCAAATAGCATTCAAAAATAGTCATTTAGTCCACTTTGTTACTATAAGTTGAGGAATATTTTATTCTAAAACTTTTTCCAGAGAAAAATAGTGTCGCCACCATTACTGAAGTAACCTTCCTACAAACTTTATCTGTGTTTACGTCAGTGTGGAATTGTGTGCCTTGTTGACGGCAAACTCATTAAGGACTAAATGAAAGTGATGAGATTTGATTTTAGACCGCATCTGGAACAAATGGCCCAGGCGTTCCCTGTTCAGTCTGGCCAATTTCGGAGGCCCGTACCAACCCACAACCCCCCTCTCCACCCGCCGACTGACACACACACACCGGTTTAGATCTGATATTTATTTCATCGGTTTTGTGTACGCAGTTGGTCTGATATGAATGTGATTCCACGCCTTGATGCAGAGACAGATTGTAAAGTGTGATTTTATTAAATCCTTCATTAGGATTCATCAGTGAGATTGGATCAGAAAAAGGTCACTGTGCAAATTCGGCCCACTCACCCCCCAACGGCACCCCTCGCTCTCGCCCTCCCTCTCGTTTGCCTTCGCTCTCTCATTTCTCTCTCATTTGCTCTAGTAGGAGGGGGGGTTGGCCACCACTACTGAAATGAATTTGCTGTGAAAATGGGGAAAAATTAGCATTATGGGCTGGTGGAGGAATACAAGGTGAAAGTGACATTATCTCCCCCTTCACGTCTCCTCCCTCTCTTCTCTTTACCCTCCTCCTCTCATTCCCCGCTTCCGTTCTCCGGTGCCTTTGCGGGACGATGGTGCCACAAATCATTTGTACGCTCTCATTTGGGTCTACAAGCCGCGATGGTGCTTACTGCTCACGGAGCAGATGACTTTCAGAGAGGGGGGAGTAAAGGGGGAACGGCTATTTTCTGGCACATGAAAACATCAGTTGGAGTTGGAGCTGAAATTGAGAGGGAAATTGCTCTCGCCATATGTCATCTTTTGCTCAGGGCTTTTTTTCCCATTGGGTGCATGCTATGCATGCATCTGCACACGAAGCAGTCTTGGTGTTAATTGTTATCATTGAAGAGTAATGTGTGCCCTAACGCCAGTTTATCTGTATCTGTAGACCTGCTGGAGTTTAGTGTACTTTAAGGCTTAGGCTAAAGAAAATCGGTGATTATGTGATCTTTCCTCACATTTACTGATTCAGTGGCTTCAGTAAGTTATTTTAGTTAGCATAGGCTGCAGGACCTTAGCTTTTCCTACTTTTGTAAGCACAGATATCAGTTGTTGTGCAAAGAATCTAAACTATCAATATAATTTTTTCTCTGTTGATCCTGTTCCGACACTCAATGTAACCCAGATCAGATGCATGTACAGTACAGTTCATCTGCCTCTGCTTTCGCTTTATCGATTGGCTAGTGAAGTCATTTGACGTAAACCATAGTGAGTCATATACTGGGGATGTGGTTTAGCAAAGAAAAAAAAATGCTGTATATTATCAATATATAATTGTCATCAATAAATAATTATTATCATCAGTGAACTGTTCCCTAGCTGAAATGTGTACTCTCTTATAATGATAATATACTTTCTGCTGTATTTGAAGTGATTT